CATGCAAGGCCACCTGGGTTGGCTGGAAGACTGTTTACTTAGCCTGGCAGGGCGAAGGACACTGTCTCAGCTGAGCTATGGACACACACACACACAAAGCGCACTCCCACTGTGTCTGCCTTCGACTTCCTGCCTGTATTCTACGTGCGTCTTTGAGTGTCTCTGTGCGTTTATGCACTCAGCGCGGTTTAGGCAGTAAATCAGCTACCTGAGGCTGAGAATTACTTGTGATGGCAGGTAGGGAGCATTCAGTAGTGGCTGCCTGCAGCGATGGGGATAGTCATTTGGAGGAAAGGCTCTGGCTTTCATTTGCATCAAAACAAAGCAATAAATCATTGTGGAGGCTCACTGCAGAGCTGCGGTACAGAGGGGAGCAGCTTCAAGCAAACAAATGTCTGCTTAGCTTTGAGGAGGGAACATTCTTTCTTGTATCTCTGTGGATATTTTCTTTGTCTCGTTTTCGATTCTGCGGGTTCTCGTCTCCGTGCCGCCTCTAAACTATGCTTTTCTCCCGGCTCGTCATTCTCACTTCACTTATTTTAGTTCGCCACAGAAATTAGCTTTCAGATCAGCAGCCTGATTTAGGAAACACTATGCTCCCATTATGATTGTGTAGCACTGCTAACAGATGAATGAAAACATTCACGCACATATTGCAGAAACTTTAACACTAAGTTCAGTGAACTGCAGACAGTTGGCAAAGGAAACAAGCTGCTCACCTCTGAGTTTACTCGCGCTGAGACCTCAGAAACAATAAAAGTGCTCAAAGTAAAAGTTGGTCTGTGTGTCTGAGCTGAAACTGCAAATGTGCACATAGATGAGAGCAGAGCAGGACCTCCAGTGATCATCGCCTGCACCGAAAAACTCAAAGCAGCGCTGAACACAGTGCAGAGGAAACAACCAGGAATGTGAGATTAGCCAAATAACTTCTTTTTGGTTTATTCTCATCAGCAGGGCGTCGCCATGTTTATTTATCAGACACTGAGTTTGCCTGCAGTTCCAAAAACTTTCATTTTATCCATTTTATTGTATTTTTTACACCCTCTGCTGATTGTAGTAATCAATACTGCTATTGCTGCAATAACAATGGAAAAATATAAAACAGCACATATGTGCATCCATCTGAAACCCTCCGAGTCTCTCAGCACGGCTGCTGGTAGCTGTGTTGACTGGAAACAAACTGTATCCAGTTATTTGGTCGACTCGTTATTAAAGCTGCACCGTCGCGCAGGTTTGGCTGTGATCTCGAGCGCTTCTCCAACACACGGTGGATCTTATAAAGTGACACGTGAGACACGCTGACGTGTGGTTGATTAAAATGTCTTCGTCTCTGCAGTGAAGCTGGTGATTAAAGTGTTGGATGCAGCTGAACATAACTAAAGCGAGCAGTGAATTTACTGCACGCGGGCCTCATTGAAAATAAAACAACAGCCCACCCACCCCGTCACCCTCCCCTCCCGTCTCCAGACAGTGGGTCTTGATTAGTGTTTGGGGCTGCTGCTGCAGAACAAAAGGCTCATCCTGAAAAGAAGGAAGAGGATTCAGCGCTCGGCGCTCCGGCGAGGATAAAAGATGTTTTATGATGAAAACGACGCGATCGTCCTCCCAGCCCGGACCGGGCTTCTTCTT